CTCCGGTCCCGGCGGCTGGAGCGGGGCGAGCGCAGCCCGGCCCCCCTTGCCCGGCACCGCGTCTGGGACCAGCACCGGGACCAGCACTGATCCCCCAAACCCGGCACCGGCACTAAGACCAGCACCGGCTCCCCAAGTCCGGTAAGGGAACAGCCTCCCCCTCCAGCACCGGGACCAGCACCGGGACCAGTCTGCTCCTCCGACACCGGTTCCAGGACCAGCCTCCTCCTCCTCCTCCAGCACCAGTTCCCCTCCTGCAGCAGCTGCACTGATCCTCCAGCTCCAGCTTCAGTTCCGACTCCGGCTTCGGCTTCGGTCCCAGCCCAGCTCCTCCGCGGGCTCCTCTCCTCCTTCCCCAGCCCCGGGACCGGCCCGGGAGCGGCGGTACCAGCGCTGCCCCAGGTACCAGTTGCAGCGGGGCCAGGGAAGCCCCGAGTAGTCGCGGTGCCCATCGGTGCCGTGAGCGGGGCGGCCTCAGCGAGGCCCCGAGTGGCAGCACAGGGGGTGGGGGCATCTGCAGAGGGGGGCAGAGCTGGGGGGACACCCGGGGACAAGGCTGTGCACTGGCAAGGGAGCCATGGCCAGCCCCGCATGGCAAGGTGCATCCTTTACCATTGGGAATATCAGCCCCCGCGAGTCACTGCTTTCCTGCGCTTATCCGTGGGCTCTGGGATGACTCAAAGCTGGTCACAGGTTTGAAGGGAAACTGTGCTGCTTCCTAACGCAGCAGCAAAACTGCCGGGGACCTGCAGATGCCATCCCTGCCTCTTGCCCCTTGGTGCTCCATCTCTATGGCCCTTGGTGCAGGTCCCCAGGTCCTAAGGAGCGCTGTGGAGCACCCCCGCATCCCGCGGGGCACCTCTGCATCCCACGGAGCACCTCTGCATCCCGTGGGGCACCTCTGCATCCCACAGGGCACCTCTGCGTCACGTGGGGCACCTCTGCATCGCTTGGGGCACCTCTGCATCCCGTGGGGCACCCCTCCGGCCCTCTGTCACACTTTCATCCCATATGACTCACTCAGGCAGGACTCAAGCCCTCAATGCCAGCCCTTCCAGGATGCTGGAAAGTTTTTCTATTAACCCCCTCTGATTTTAGTGCAACCAGCAGTTTGGCAAGGGCTCATCTGGCAGTAATGCATGTGCTAAGCACTCATGGGGCAGGTGCCAGCCTGGTGAAACCCCTCTGAGTGCACCGCTGCCTTCAGCAGTGGCACCTCTGGGCTTGAATCCGGAGGAGGGACAGTTCAGATGATCCCCAATGGTTTGAATGATCCCACTGAAGCTCCTGAAGCCTCGTGTTTTTCCAGGGAGGGTGGTTGGGAGCAATGCTGGAGGCTCCAGGCTATCCCAGCTGCAGTCTGTCTCTGTTTCTGCATTAGGTCGAGGCAGAACTCAGTTCGAGCCTGGCCCCAGAGCAGGGTCTGGAAATCAGAAGTTCAGGTCTGGTTGAGGCTCTGTGCAATGGTTGTAGTGAGGGTGTTTCCAAGAGCAGCTCATGACTCCCGCAGGAATCCTCCCTGGGGCACTGCTGGGGTCCTGGACTTGTCCCGGCCGCTTTTGGGGAGCGTTTGGAACACACTGCACGTGGGGGACGCAGACGCCGCCCGCAGCCCCCGGACGCTCGCGGTCCCACCAGCCACACACGGCTGCGTGTGCCATCCTGTTATCATCATCATCTTCCCTGGTGCTCATGGTCTCTCAGGAAACCGGCTGTTTCTTCTCTCTGCTTTTTTTTTTTTTTTTTTCCTTCTTTTTTAGCCTATAAAACCCAAGGGAAGCAGAGCGGTGGTAGCACCGTCCCTGGATGAACCACAGAGCCCGTGAGAGCCCGAGCGCTGCTGCGCTGGCTGGGGTGGGATTGTGGCACTGGAGCCTTGGGAAGAGGGAGCCGCAGCTTCCACGGCCGGGAATGGCTCAGGGCAAAGGGAGCTCTGCTCTATGGTGACTTTTGTGCACATCTAGCAAAAACAGAGGTTTCTGGGCTGGCCATCCCGGCGCCGGGGGTATCCTCTGTTGAACAGGACAGCAAATTGGTTGCTTTTGGCTTGAGGTCAATGCAACGTATGAGGTTGAACAAGATGTGGTGAGGGGAGCCAAAGGGGCTCTTGGTGATGCTGAGCCTTCCACTGCAAGGGCCTAGGAAGATTTGTCACTATAGTCCAGGCCCCCAGCAAAAATCATGCTGCGAGATTAACTACCCCAAAACACAGGCAGGGCTGTTGCATGGCTGGCAGGATCTGCAGGCCGAGAGGAAGATGTGCAAAAAAACACCTTTTAAAATGAATATAAGAAATGTAGCAAATATTGTAGCTACTGAGGCATCTACGAGCCCACGGGTGGCCACAGGAGAAGGCTGCACCCACAGGCTCGGTGCTCCCCGGGGTGCTTGGCTGGAGTCTCCAGGGATGCATCGATGCGGGAAGCTCCCGTTGACCCCTAGCTCCTGATCCCGGCTCTCCGAGCCCTGCGACCGAGTGCCGGGCTGTGGTTATTCCCATTGCAGGGATCGTTTGCAGGACACATCCTCCCCTGGCCCTGCTGAGCATCTCTCTCCCT